GTGTGTGTGTGTGTGTGTGTGTGTGTGTGTGTGTGTGTGTTTGGACAACAAGAAAGCAAAAGATCAAAGCTGACATTAAAGACAGAAAAGTCCTTAACTTTTTACAACGAAGGACACATTTGCTGCATACAATTTTACGCTGCGTTTTGTTGATTTTTTTTTTTTAAATCACATATTTCCATTGTGCATATTGAAGCTGGGAAAAACAAACCGTAAAGTCACACGCTTTCTGTACTTTTGATTTCTTCTCTACGGCTCGTGTGAGTTTTATGTAAGCTTTAGTTTGACTTTCTGTCATGCTCCACTAAGTGGAAGTTTACAGTGTTCTGCATTGAAGACCATGTGTGCACACAGCTGCAGCTGTGGCCTCTCGAATGTAGACCAGCACCGCAGTAACGTTTTTATGGTGCAAAGTTCACGTGCTTATTCATCTACTCAGAATGAACAGTGTTCAATTAAGTCAAATGTACTTCTCTGTGTTTGTGTTTGTGTCTCTGCAAACAAATGCTTTGCTAAACAAACAGTTTTTTTTTACAGTGTTTCTAATCTAAACATTTTCATCATCATTTTGCTTGGAATTACTAATTGTATCCCTTTTAGTGATTATTTCTGTGCCATTTGGAATTAGAGACACTCAAAGCATGTTCGCACRACAAACGGAAAACCTCAAGCTAGAAGAAAAATGAGTAATAGTACTCTCCACTATCTACACAAATGAGAGCCAGGCTTTGCTAGTACGAGGTGCTGGAGTGCATGTTGTGACCGAGTCAGTTACATTTCCTGCTGCAGATAACAGCCTGTATTTCCACACTCTCAGTGTGAATCTGTCAAACAAAACCGAAGTGTCAGACTGCGTCTGAAACTGGAGCCGGTGCGCAGGCTGCAAACAGGTCGACTGGAACCTCAAAGTGATTGATTAACCTCTGTTAAAACCATGTGTTGACCCTTATCCCAGTTCAGATGAATTTAAACTGTTCTCAGCTCAGTTTACACAAAATAACTTTGAGAGTGGCTGGTGGGGCCTCTCCTTTTTTTTACTTGTTTCAGTGAATTATTCTAACTCTATAATTAGGGATAAAATATATAATAAATTTAAAGCTGTTTTCTTTTCTTCTTTTTCTCTGCTTTTGCAGTTTGAGTAATTTTTTTCAGTTTTTTCTTCTTTTGGTTCTGCCTTCAGGTTAGCAAAGAAGATAAACTGTCCAACCGTATCCAGAGCATGCTGGGCAATTACGACGAAATGAAAGAACCAATTGGTGACACGCTTCCAAAGCTCGGAGGTAAACCTTCTAACAGCTCGTCTTCCTCTGAAGAGAAATCCGGCCCACCTTTATTTGTCGGGGACCAGCGCAGCGTTGGTAGCGGCGGCGGGAGCCAGAGCAGTAAGTGGACTCCTGTTGGCCCAGCARCCGGCGGGTCTTCATCCCAATCCCAGAAACGCTCTGGACTCCCCGGCGGACACAGCGGCCAGAGGAGCGGCGGCGGCAGTAGCGGCAGCAGCAACAGTAGCCAAAGAGGTGAAGTGCGAGAAAAGAAGTCGAGTAAACACAGCGGAGGTTCGGATCACTCCAAGTCACACACATCAAGTCCGGCCAAGGGGTCTCTGAGTTCCTCCAGCAGCCACTCGCGGAGCTCCTTGTCTGCTGAGCAGCATCACAGCAAGGAGCGCTACCGGTCCAGATCTCCACGAGACAGAGAGGCGAACTGGGACTCCCCCTCACGGGTTCACACCTCTTTCCCCAGCGGACAGCACTCGAGTCAGACCTTTCCTCCCGCTCTCATGTCCAARCCCATCTCCATGCTGCAGAAGCCCACAGCTTATGTGCGGCCAATGGACGGCCAAGAAACTACAGAAGCAAAGAGTTCTCAAGCAGACAGCTACAGCGGACAGTCCCACAGCAGCACCATAGGAGATGTGAAGCCCAACGGCAAGGCRTCACTAACCAAACTCAAGATCCCCTCACAGCCTGTAGAGGTAAGCTTCAGTGTTCGTGTGTCCTAAATTTCATCACCATTCAGKGACTTTGTGAGTTTAGTTGGCACTTAGTTTGTCAGCTGTTAAAAATATRTTTCTGAGTAGAATCTCTTTTAAGTCCATTAAATGGAGCCGYAATTACGATTACACAAGTATCAAAGTTCACAGGCACACCTGACTGCTACAGACGAGCAGGTTCCAGAACTACATATAAACTATGTCTATAAATTGCATCTAAAATGATCAGTAGTTTAGGTTTAAACCAGAGGAGCCCAAAGTGGGGCCCACCCAAGCCATTTGATTTGGCCCACCTGTCATACTATGTAGAAACACAGTATTTCCACTGAAAGTCATTTTATTCATTGGTCAAATGAATAAAGATGCAGATACTTTAAGACTTTTTTTCCTTCTTTCTGCCACCTTTCATTTTATTTGTGATTTGTATTTTTATTGTACATAAAATTTGTTAATATATAAGGGACTGTAGTGCAGATAGTTTTCACTTATGGTGCTGACTTTATCTTTGATATATTAATATTAAACATGAAACATGAAATACAAGCAACAACAAGAGATATTTAGATTAGATTTAACCACACATGTAGATTTGCCCACGTTATAAGGCCACAAAACTCATATTTTATCAATTTATGAAATGTCCCATGAGCCTTTGCTGGTTGAACGTATGGCAGACTTCGCTAAAAACCAAAGTGGGCCATTGCACTGGCTAAAAGATTAATCATTAAAAATAAAGTACTTTATTTAAAAAGTATTTGTATTTCATGTATTCTGTTACCACATTTGGCCCGCAGCCCCTAGATGATCATTTTGGCCCACTTGGGGAAAAAGTTTGGGCACCCCTGGTTTAAACACACGTTGTGTTCAAAGAGTTGACTTATTTTTAATGAAAAACTGAACAGCTTRTTGCAGATGATCTGAGTAAACCCATAGGTGTCATAAAAAGCCTTTTAGTGTGACTCATTGTACTCAGAATGGAAGCAACCTCTCACCTGTTGTACTGAGATTATTTTCATGAACATGTTTGAAGTATGGTGTTTCTTTCTGCAGGGCTCCGGTGATCCAAACTGTGTGGATGAAATTCTGAAGGTACGTACTACTTCCASTATCAGACCTGTTCATTTGGAGTGAAAAGAAAGAATTGAAGGAGGAATATTTCTTGCTTACTCAACATCATGAAGCTAATCTCTRCATTTTTTCCCTTTTTGTCATCTTTTTTTTTAAACAGGAAATGACTCAGTCGTGGCCCCCTCCACTCACAGCCATCCACACTCCCTGCAAAACAGAGCCCTCCAAGTTTCCATTCCCCACCAAGGTCAGCATTAAGCCAACAGTTTTTAACTGGTTCAGTGGATTTTGTTATTATGAATTTTAAAAATTAAGATTTCTTTCTTTTTATGTAGAGCAAACCAGCTACCAAACTTTCTTTTTCTTTTTCAATAAAGAAATAGTCGTACAACTTATTTGAGCTTTTTGGTGAATTAGCTTCTGTTACGGACATAAATCCCTATTTATCTGTTAACATGCTTGACAGATATTATAGTCGAGGAAGAACATAAACACTACTTCGTAAAAAAACAATGTTTTTTTGTTTTTGTTTTTTTAAACTTCAGGATACACATGCTTTTCCAAGTGGAAACAGTGAGTTTCATAATTCCTATTCCATTCTGCACATTCAAGATGAAATTGTTTGCTAATCTCTTATGTGTTTGTCTGGTCTGTGTATTTATATATATCTATATGCACCTTCTTTGTGTTTCAGAGAGAGGCAGCTCATCTAAGAGCTCCAGCAGCCACCAGCCTAAAGACTGCAATGACCCTCCCACGTAAGTGATTCATCTTCTCCTCTTTGCTTGTAACATGCATGGTTGATGTTTTCCTTACATTACTTTATGATAAAGTTTAGAAAGCAAACACACATATAAAACAATAAATAAACATCTTCAGAAGACTAAAATAAAATAATAAATCAAGCAACATAAAATGGGAATGTAATTGTAAATCAAATAGAAAGATACAGAAATTTCTGGTAGGATATTAGGTTATGTCATCCCTTAAAGGGATCCCCGATTAGTTGTAACATTAGACTAAAGACTGTAAAAATACTRTAGGCTGTTTTGTTTTGTACATTTTTAAAAATATATTTTAACACGGACGGAGCCATTTTATTTACACGCAAAGCATTCTGGGTAAATGATGACGTGGGTAGGTCATCAGTGCGAGGCTGCTAGCAAGCTATATCCACCCTGAAGGTTAATCTTGGACAATATCTGATGATCGACTCTTTTAAATGAAACCAGAGAGCGTTGACAGAGAGGAGAAGGTAGAAATGACTCAACCTGGAACTGAAAATATGGATGGAGGACAACAGAGCTGCTTCATGGAAGAAGAACCTCAGCTTAGCCTGTTAGCCTTTGCGCTAGCACTGACGCTATATTGCCTTATATGTATTAGCTCGGTGCTAGCGTGACAAACAAACAAGCTAAACTGTTGTCCTCCATCCATATTTTCAGTTCCAGGCTGAGTCATTTCTACCTTCTCCTCTCTGTCAACGCTCTCTGGTTTCATTTAAAAGAGTCGATCATCAGATATTGTCCAAGATTAACCTTCAGTGTGGATATAGCTCACTAGCAGCCTCGCACCGAKGACCTAGTTGATGTCATCATTTACCCAGAATGCTTTGTGTGTAAATAAAATGGCCCCGTCCGTGTAATATATTTTGAAACTTTTAGTTAAAAAATTATAAAAACTGAGCATCCTACAGTATTTTTACAATCTTTATTTTACAGTTAAATATACGTTTATTAAATAAAGTCTAATGTTACAACTAATCGGGGATCCCTTTAACATCCCAACGTTTTGTTGTTGGGTCTGCTACCTGGCGAGGTGATCCAAAAGGAAGACTATTATCTTTTTAAAGTTCTAATGATTGCATGTAAAAAGGCTTGGCCCACCTCAGACTGATCAATGGCAAGAAATAGGGGAGGAGATACACTCCATGGAACAGCTGACAACTTTGTCATTTTGTTATTGGATGAATTATATTGTACCTCTTCTTTATTTTTGTTCTRTGTTGCAATAAGAAAAGGGTTACAGCTACAAAAAAAGTGTATTTAAATTTTGTATTTTCAGAATGCTGAAAGAAGATTTGATTGTAAGCAGCAGTGACGACAGTGATGGAGAACAAGACGCCAAGAATGCCTCAAGGAACACAAGGTGAAGTGCAAATGTTTTTTGGTAAAATGTAATTAATAAAGTATATTTTCACTTAATATCAGTGGATTTTCACAAAGCATTGTTTCGAAATCTCCATAGCCCTCGTCGTTTTGTATCTGTAGTAATTGCCAGCAGTGTTTGTTTGACTCTAGCACCGTTTGTCTGCGTTTGTCCAACAACAGCAATAACAGTGAAGCAGCTGAACCATCCAGGGACGACTCCAGCAGCCACAGCGGCTCAGAGAGCAGCTCAGGCTCTGACAGCGAGAGTGAAAGCAGCACGACTGACAGTGAAGCCAACGAGCACCCACGACCTGCTTCTCCTGAAGTAATTACATATTAATCATTTTCTGCACTGCTAGAACTACGTTAAGTCCTTTTTGTTACAGTGAGAATTGTTTTAAATGATGATTATTCTTATCTGTAAATGTTTGCTCATGAAGACCGTTTCTAAGTTTTGTTTTATTCTCTCCCCTTCAGCCTGAGCAGCTCAACAAGTGGCAGCTGGACAACTGGTTCAAGAAGGCCAAACAGTGTCCCGCTTCCCCCATAGACAACAGCGTCCCGTCGAAGTGTAAAAAAGAGAGCCGAGATTTCGGCCGTGGTTCTGGAAGCCAAGGCGGGGGGTCGAAAGACTCCACAGCACCAGCCCCGAGCAGAGACTTGCGAGCGCCGCAAAAAGGTGCGGAGGGTGGCCGCAGCCGTCAGAAGTCCCCCGCCCAGAGTAACGGCAGCACAAATCCTCGCATCCGAGTGGGCAAAAAGCAGCCGAAAAAATCTGAGAAGCCTCCTGTGGTGGAGGAACCAAAGGGGGGTCTGAAAGTGGAGAGCGAGCCGGCTCCAGAGATCCCCCCMCACCAACCCAAAGCTGCCACTAAGGGTTCCCGCAAGCCAAGCATCAAAAAAGAACCCAAATCCTCCCCCAGGCCCTCTGCGGCCTCCGTTACCACCACTACAGACAAACGCAAGACCAAGGCGCCCACCAAGACTCCCCAGTCTCGTGAAATTATCAGCACAGACTCGTCATCGTCAGACTCTGARGGGAACGACAGCATCCCCTCATCCTCACAGACGCCCAAGTACACAGAGAGCATCAGGACCCCCGTTTGTGTGTTTTCTCCTGTGGAAGAGAAAGAGCTGCTGTCCCCTCTCAGCGATCCAGAGGAGCACTACCCCACAAGGCAGCCTCATCAGCAGGCTTTACTCGTTAAGATAGGTAAGTCAAACCCTCTCATAAGTCCTAAAATAACAACATAAAAGTCTCATTTTATTGTGCGTTCTTGTGTTGTGTTTATGCTGCAGAAGCTTTTCTTTATTTTGGCCCAAATTAAACCCTTCCCTTCCTTTTCCTTCCCTTTCCCATAGATCTCAGCTTGCTGTCGAGGATCCCAGGACGGCCTTACAAGGAGCCTGTAGAGATAAAAGTGGAGAGGGAAGACTCTCAAGACCGAGACAGCAAGGACTTCAGTAAGCAGAGCAAGTCCAAGAGGAAACACAAGGTAGAGCCAGTCTCAGATGTTTTCTTCTTCTGTCCTTTTGATTCTATTTTTACTTTTAACCATTAAAACACTTTAACTGTTACAGCACATATTTACGGGTTTGTCATAAAAAATTAAGGTCCCATAACCAACCAATAAACCAAAGTTTTTTTTAAATGTGCATTTTCCCCCCTTCTTTAATCCTTAGAACGAGGAGGAAGCTACGAAGCCRGAGAGTAAGCGATTCAAGACAGAAGACAAGTCGTTATCTCATCATAAAAACAGCAGTAAAGAGTGAGTATTTTATTTTATTTTTCTAATAAGGTTTTGCCCAAATTGGCACTCCTGATGCKTTTAATAGCATTTTGTTTTGTAATGGAAACGCACAAGTTTTTATGTMATTTTTTTTACAGTTTGAAAAATAAACACATTAACCTTCAGTGTGCTTGGTCAAATCTCAGCCTAGGAGCTTATTGATGTGGCCTTAAGTCGGCCTTTAAAAGCCACACCTGTTACCCTTCATTCTTTACTCTCTGGTTTTGTCTTTGTTATGAATTTCCGTAATGTTAATATTTAATCTTATGTCAATGTCTGCTTCAGGTCAGTTCATAACACTTTTTTTTTTCACGTACTTAAATTTTGTAAACTTTGTAAGTGGGTGGTATCACATTAGTTTAAAGTGGTCTCAAAACATTTACTGTATCATAATAATTTCTGAGAAAAATTATCTTCTAGCAAAGTTTGTTATTGTGACAGGCCTATTAAAGAGCGCATGTAACACAGGACTGCTTCACATTTAACCAGGTCAAAGCGGCCTTTGGAAAAGAAAGAGGAGCCAGCCCCCTCCCCTTCTATGTCAGGTCCWCAGAGGACACCTAAGGGAGACCATTCAAGTCGAAAGGGGACAGTCAGCCAGTCCTCCAGCTTGCTGTCGAGTGCGAACGGGAGCAGAAAAGAGGGGAGTCACAGCACAAAGAGCAGCTCCACCTCCAAACACAGAAAAGGAGACGACAAGGGACGCAGCACACGTGATGGGAAGGTTGACGTGAGTACTGTGAAATGTTTGTAATCATCTTTCAAACACAACACTACATTTGTGAGCTGAGTCGTTCACCTCGCCATCTGTGCAATATGTTATACAAAGTACCTGAAGTGATAATACAAGCATAAAGAAACATCAGTTACTGCTTTTCAAYGAGGACAATGATCAGGTCAATAGCTGCTGTATGTTTGTGCTGCATTTCAGCTTCCTCCTAGCATTATTATAGTCACAAATCAAATATTTATACTCTTATAACAAGCAGCTGAATATCTAGCTCTTCTATGTATAAGCCCAATACTTAAAGAATGCAGTATATTTTCACCTTTCCTCCATGTTATTATTCACATCATAAATGGAGTACATTCCCCCATTAAATTTAACTGTCTCCCTTTCTGTGTCTGCAGGAGAAATTACCAATTAACCAGTTGGCAGTGCCTCCTCTCTCCACAGACGACTCCAAGTCTCAGAGATCTAAGCTGGTTTTTGAGGACAGGTAAGAGGAGCTCTTTCCCCTGTGGATAACCCCCTCAGCGGGGCTCAGAAAGAGCTGCTGTGGGGCTCTAGAGTTGCCTTTGATGCATGAAGCTATGGGAGGTTGGGGAGGTCGTGAATAGAAGTGGCCGCCTGCCAGAAAGATTATGTAAATTTCCATTTTAAAAGACTCTCTGCCAGGACTCTGTGTCCTTTTTCATGCTGTTATAAAGAAACGACACAGAGCTGCTTAAGATTCTTGTGCCTTTTGTTTCAGAATTTGATTTAACGCTTGAAAAGATCTTTAACGATTTTAGAAAAGTGACAAATAATTGTACATTTCCACGTGCAAACCGAGACGTTAAAGAGTGTTGGAATGTGTGACGCTTTCTGTAAATAGTTGTGCTTTTTTACTTTGATTTAGTCTGTAAATTGATTTGACCTGCCAATATTTTGGTTTCAGGGCTTACTCAGCTGATCACTACTTACAAGAAGCCAAAAAGCTCAAGCACAATGCAGATGCACTGGTAAGTGAAGCTATGCACGGGTGGAGTTGAGATGTTTGGATGTACGGTCAATTATTACACGCAAGGTAAAACACTACTAAAGTTTGACACGTAAGAAATGCTTTTTAATTAGGATTTAAAGTCAACATTTCTGGCATTTTAACCAAACATCTGCTAATTAAGTTTCAGATTATTTTAATGATTTTGTGAAGGGAACTGGGCTAATAATCAGATTTCTCATTCTGAGYTTTTGCAGTTTTTGAGCATGACAAAAAAAAGTAGATATTTTGTTACCTGGGCATTTGTTAGATGTCAATCTACAATCCTGATTAAAATTTTAAGACCAGTCGAAAAATGGCAAGAATTCACATTTTACATTGTTTGATCTCAAGACGGTTCTAAGTAGAGCTTTGAAATGCAAAGTGAGTGAGACTGAAAAAAACTGAGTAAGCATTTATTTGCAAACATTAATCTGAAATAGGCTGTTCATCAGTTGATCTAAGTTTAAGACCACAGCATTTAAAAGCACAAATCTTTGCAAAAATGGGGATTCAGTGTAATTCTTTGTCAGGTATCCACAGTGTCATGACCTCCTGATGGCAAAGGCAAAAAAAGTTTCTGTCTTTGCTGAGTTGCATAATCAAAGCCATTGCTGCTGAGGTTGGACGAAGTAAGACAGTCATTTTAAACTTCTTAAAAGAGCTCGATGGTTATGGAACAAAAAAAAGTCAAGTGATGGACCCACATTTCACCGGTCCTGTGCCRGAGRATCCAATTGACTGTCCGTTAAGACGCAGGACAATCCTCGGCCCAAATTAAGCTCGTCACTCTTTTGGACCATCCTGTGTTCCCTGATCTAAATCCAGTTGGGAACATTTAGGTTTGGATGGCAAGGGAGGTTTACAAAAATGGACACCCGTTCCAGACAGAGGATCCCCTCTGTGACGCTATCATCACCACTTGGAGCAACGTTCTCTCTGTCCTCCTGGAAACGCTAGCATCAAGCATGCCAAAACGACATTTTTGAGTTGATTAACAAGAGTGGTGCAGCTATTCATTACTGTCTTTTTTTTTCTTCAGATTTTATTTCAATTTTAGAGGGGTTTGGGGTCTTTCTTTTTTTAGATATGGTCTTAAACTTTTGATCAGCTGAAGAACAACCTATTTCACTTTCAATTATTATTTGTTTAGATGATTACTCAAATGTTTTTGTCTCACTCCCTTTTCTTCAGTGCWAAATAAAAATTCTTGTCATTTTCCAACTGGTCTTAAATTTTTGATCAGGATTGCAGCATATTGTTCTTTTTCAGACCTAAATTGTTGCTGCAGTTGTTACTTTTGAACTATGTTTAAAACATCACAGTTGATGCGTAAAGTTACTTTTACCTGAGGTCTTATCAATTAGATCTTCAGTTAATATTGTCTTGATGCTGATAAAGAATTCAAGCAACTCTGTAGCCAAGGATCCTTAAAGGGATCGCTGATTAGTTGTAACATTAGATTTTATTTGATAAACATATATTTTAACTGTAAAATAAAGACTGTAAAGATACTGTAGGATGTTTTGTTTTGTACATTTTTAAAAATATATTTAACATAGACRAAKCCATTTTATTTGCATGCAAAGCATTCTGGGTAAATGATGACGTGGRTAGGTCCTCGGTGCGAGGCTGCTAGCGAGCTATATCCACCCTGAAGGTTAATCTTGGACAATATCTGATGATCGACTCTTTTAAATGAAACCAGAGAGCGTTGACAGAGAGGAGAAGGTAGAAATGACTCAGCCTGGAACTGAAAATATGGATGGAGGACAACAGAGCTGCTTCATGGAAGAACAACCTCAGCTTAGCCTGTTAGCCTTTGTGCTAGCACTGATGCTATATTGCCTTATATGTATTAGCTCAGTGCTAGTGTGACAAACAAGCTAAACTGTTGTCCTCCATCTATATTTTCAGTTCCAGGCTGCTCTGTCAACGCTCTCTGGTTTCATTTAAAAGAGTCGATCATCAGATATTGTCCAAGATTAACCTTCAGGGTGGATATAGCTCGCTAGCAGCCTCGCACCAAGGACCTATCCATGTCATCATTTACCCAGAATGCTTTGCATGTAAATAAAATGGCTTCGACTATGTTAAATATATTTTTAAAAATGTACAAAACTAAACATCCTACAATATTTTTACAGTCTTTATTTTACAGTTAAAATATGTGTTCATTAAAAAAAGTCTAATGTTGCAACTAATCATGGATCCCTTTTAAGTCTTAAAAGGTATTGAAATCATCAATCCAAAAATAAGGCCTTGAAGTTCAAATGTCTTAAATCAACCTTTCAGAAGTCTTAAATGTTAAGGGTCAAACAAGTGCTTTATATGAAATCACAAGTTTATGTAATTTACAGTAAGTTGAGAACAATCTAAGTTTTGTGTCACTTGAACTTACTCTTTGTTTTGCAGGTAAACCGTTTTGTGAAGGCTGTCTTCTACCTTGACGCCGTGGTTTCCTTCATCGAGTGTGGCAATGCTCTGGAGAAGAGTGCCCAGGAAGCCAAGTCACCCTTCCCAATGTATGCTGAAACAGTGGAGCTCATCAAGTAAGGACAAATTCATACACTGTTTCTGCACATTGTTCTTCAATTTTATGTTTTGAAAACAACAAAAAAAATAAACTTCTGCAAACGTATGAGCTTACCACATCATTGCAAAACACCACCTCATCCATATGCAGAATGACGTGTCAGTTGTTGAGATGTATTCTGGGTAAAAGAACAACTTTGGACAGAGTAAAAGAAAAGTGTTCTTTTGGTTCTGCTGCACTGATGTTGAAGCAATATTAGGTTTTAATCCAAACTTCATGAGAGTTCAGACAGAAAGACAGCATATGAACTTTTATTAGGGTAAAACCTRATTAATTAAAATTTTCTTTATTTAGATACACKATGAAGTTAAAGAGCTACATGGCCCCAGATGCTACAACAGCAGACAAGAGGCTAGCTGTGCTTTGGTGAGTATAAGCCTGGCAGCATGTGGTAAAAGTGTCGTTTGTCCTTAACCCACAAATGTATTCATACATGCTTGTTGCTACTTTCAATCATTTGTTTTTAAAATGTATGCAAAGAAGTTACCTTCATACGTCTGGTGTCTGATTTCAAGCATACGTGATGGTGCTTTTCTCTGTCCAGCCTCCGATGCCAGTCTCTCCTCTACTTGCGGTTGTTCAAGCTGAGAAAAGACAGCGCTCTGAAATACTCCAAAACACTCACAGAACACTTGAAGGTACTGTTTCGTGAAATCASTTTGTTTTTCTTGGACAAATTTCCAATGCAGTCGGATTCCATGAATGCAATTTATAATCTGTAAATGTGCAACTACCTGCGAACATAATGTACTTTCTCTCATTTCATTCACAGAACTCTCTGAGTAACACCCAGGCTCCCTCTCCTGGAATGGGAAAGTAAGTTWTATGCTCATTTGATGTTTGGAGAGTCAAGTTTTAGTGTCCAGGAGGCATTTTTTTTAGGTTTTGTATTTAAAAAGTAAAATCCTAAAATTAATTTTGGCGAATTTTGATCAGTTTTAAACCCAGCTTGTATTTGTTGTTGCATATTTAATATTTTCTATCAAACTAATCTTTTTGTTGACTTGTCTCTGTTTTCCACACAGTAAGGCAGCTGGTATGCCCTCTCCAGTGTCGCCCAAACTCTCACCAGGCACAGCAGGAGGCTACTCATCCGTCAGCAGCAGCAGCAGCGCCAGCTCGTCTGTGACCATACCTCAGCGTATCCACCAGATGGCTGCCAGCTACGTTCAGGTCACCTCCAACTTCCTGTACGCCACCGAGATCTGGGACCAGGCCGAGCAACTGTCCAAGGAGCAGAAAGGTAAGTCACGTTTCCTACGGGGGTTAACTGAGGTGTAACATCGAGTTTCAAATGTTTATGACTCAACCTTTTGCTTGCTTTAAAAAAGAATCCACCAATGGAAATAACTGTGTTGAAAAACAAACACAGATAGCATTCAGGATTATATTGTGTCATGATGTCCTGTCTGGAATTTCTCAAACATGCTGCTACTGCTGCAACATTTCTCTTAAAGTTAATACAACACCAGGTCCTTTCAGATCGTTGTGGGCAAATCAAAACTTACTGCCAAACTGAGAAGCAGGCATTCATCTTGTCCCAGTCTTCTCTTCTATGATAAATATTATCAAAACCTGTAATGCTCTCTTATGAAATTAAATGTTTTCACTCATGTAGAGATACGTTTTGCCTGTATTTCTGCAAAAATCAGGGTTCCCACAGGTCCTTGAAATCCTTCAAAGTTTGTGAATTTTTAAAAAATTATTTCAAGGCCCTGGAAAGTTTGTGAAAACAGCCAAAAATTACACTTGTCCTTGAAAGCCCTAATATATATA